TGATTGGCAAATGAGATAATGGTTACGATATGCTGTGGACACAGAGAGACATGCGGAGGAATGGCGGACACCAACCGATATATTTGAAGGATTTGTTGGATTTAATCAATTGCTGTAAGACCTGCTCGACGATAGCGTTGGACCAGTTGTTGACCTTCGAGTGTTGGTAGGCCTGCGACCCGATCACTGTCTCCACCACTTCTTTGGCCACTTTGTTCACCACATCCGAGTCAAACCACTGCTGAAGACAATGAGACAATACATACAGATATTGATAATCAATTCAATTGTTGCACATTTGGCTCACATTTGAGTCGTTTTGAGACATTTGTTGGCAACTAATGAGTGAATGAGTGGTTCACAGATGGTATACAAGACACTATGGACTCAATTGAGTGATGATTAGTGTGAAGAGTGTGTGTATTGATTGAATTGGTGTCCAAATGGATGTATAAATAAATAGTGATTTGAAACACAAATTAATGTCAAAATCAACACAAATGTCACAAATGTTTACCAATTGAGTCAATAAAAGGCTACAAATGACGTCAAATTGAGATCTCATTTGAAACCAGTTTTTGATTATTTCATATTAAATATGAAATTAATTTTAATTTTATTGAATAATATTTACAATTATTTGGATATTTAATTGATTTTTTTATTAATACTAAAAATTTGATAAATACATTAAGAAAATAAAGTTTACATTAAAACAAATGTTTGAATAGTCTATTAATAGTAGTTAAATAAAGTATAAACTTAAATAAAATACTGTAATAGTATTGATGCTAAGCATGTAATGATGGCATTAAAAGTGTTAAATCACTGATTAGACAGTCATTTAGTTTTGGATGGGTTTGTCGGTGGAGTCGGGTGTTTGGTGTATGACTTGAATGGGAACCACTCTCTCGTTGTCATCCAATGGCTGAACGGGTCGTTTGGGGGCAGAGATAGTGAGCACACCTTTGGAGGTGAGGCCACACTTGACTCCTTCCGATTCGCATTCCTCCGGAAGTGTATACTTTCGGGTGAACTCACGGCTAACCCATCCGTGTTTATCCATTTTCTCCT